CATTTATACAAATATCCATTTTAATGACCATCGTAATCTCTTATACTTGTGTGCTCTTCGACATCCTGAAAAAAAAATCTGAAAAGAGCAGAAGCAAAGCCTTCTTCATGTGCACTGCCCATCTGCTCTCTGTCTCGTTGTACTATGGCACTCTCATCTTCACATATGTGCGCCCTGCATCTGGCCTAGCTGAAGATCAGGACAAAATATCCTCTCTGTTGTACACGATTCTAATTCCTCTGATAAACCCCTTTATTTACAGTTTGAGAAATAAAGAAGTTATAGGTGCCTTGAAGAGAGTTACAAAGAAGTAAATAGCTCCCAAGGGAAATTCCAAATTGTGTCTCTTCTCATCCTTTGCATAAGCAAGTCCGCAAGTCCTGCAGATTAGCCATGGCTCTGCCCTGTCCCAAAGGGATAGTGGGCAGGGTGGTCACTGAGCACCATGTGAAGGAACCCAACTTCGTACAATGTTTACTTCGTGGGTCCAGTTGAAGTGTCCTCGCATCAGCTACAGCTGACTAACTTAGAAACGTTGGACCTCCTCATTATCTGAGCATTCAGTTTTTGAAAATTTACTGCCTGCAAAGGATCCCCTCCCCAAATTACATTTAATAATTGACAATAATTAAGGCTGATATATAAATAGGAATCATTTAGTTCATGACTGATCCTAGCTAACTGCATTAGACCTGCATATTAGTAAGGTTCCGTGATGCTGTACTAGTTCCAGAAATTCTGATAAACTGACAAACACTGGTTCTTGGAAGAAAATGCTCCTGAAATGAAAGTTAAGAAAAATGTGGGGGTCTAAAAACATTGGTGCATCTTAACAACAACAACAACAACAATTTAAAAAAAACAAAAAGGACAGTAGCTTTAACAATGGGATATCAAACTTAAAAATTTTTTGTATCTAGTCCGTATAATAACTTTCATATAAGATGTTATATGATATAGTGGTATTCAGGAATTTTCATATTTAGAAATATCTCAGGATAGTGTTATTGGGTGCAGTATAATTTTAACTTATAGTGACCCCATATGACAGAGGAAAATTCCCCTATAGGGTTTTCTTGGCTATAATCTTTGTGGAAGCAGCCTGCCAGGTCTTTGTCCCAC